TTTAAGCTTATTTTAATCTTAAGGTATCTAATTAAATATTAAAAGGAGACAAAAATTAAAGCAAAAATTTAAAATATATGTACATATCTGAAAATTTTAAATAAAATATATATTTTCACGAGAGACAAATTAAATAAAACGGGTTAACTTTAGGGGAAATATACTTATCAGATTGGATCAGATAGCGCTTTTACGTTATAAATAAAAATAATTCCTACTTAAATTTTATATAATTTTGGTGACGTATTTCTAAACTGACCCTGAGATCTGTGAAATAATACATATTTATGTGCATATATTGTTGATTATGCTCTAAATCGCTAAATAATTCTTGCAGAAATCAGCACCATTGAAAAGTGAAGTGACAATAGGCTGGTTTTCTTTAAATTCGAATTATTGTTATAAAAAATTACAGTTATTGTTTGTTTCCATTTCGGTCAACCGCGCAAATTATTTATTTAAAAAATGTCGTTTAAAAATAGCAGATTTTGTTTACTTTTGAATAAGACTTTATCGAGTGCGCTATAAAGACAGGGGGATAAATGCTGTAAAGAAATATATGTTGAGTCCAATCGGTTTTTTGCTAATCCGGTTTTTGTGTAGGTATAAACAAGGTATTTTAAAAAAATACCTCTCCATGAAAAAATATCGTTATTTAAAATTAATCGGAATTTTATGGGGGGTTATAAAAACTCGTTTTAATCGAAACTTTGTTTTTTTCGGCTATATTTCTTATTTATTGGCCCAGATGCAAATATTGAATGAACTAACATATTTTAAATATTTACGGAACTACCATTTGTATGCAACCGTGCCTATCCTGTATTCAAGTAGATGTAATTCGAAAAATTTAAACGGATTTCTTCAAATCAACCTGAGCTGCGGACATATTGCGAATTCATTTTAAAACATTAACCACTACATTATATTAGTATTAAATACTTTCAATTAAGAAAGAATTCTTATTAGAAAATATGAATCGTTTTATTTTAAATATTCCAATGTATATTTTTTGTTAATGCAGATAGTGCGGATTTAACGTATTTTATAACCGTTACTTGGGGAAAATAAATGTAAGGCAGATTGTTATTAACAATTTTTACACAATTTACGATTGCAATCAATTTCTTTCAAAACTATAATCTAAATGATTGCAAGTTGTATTTTTTACGATCAAAACAGATTCCAATATTAGGTATATTATCCAAATGCAATCCAATTTGATTTGAGTTATTCAGTTTTGGATACATTTATATTTCTGTGTTCGTATGGAATAGTAGTTTATGTCGGGAAGCTGGCTTTAGTATAATCCGGCATTCCCTTTATTATTTACAACACAAGGAATTTTTTGATGACCCTTAACAAGAATATGGACGTGCTAGTATTGGAACTATTTCTTGCACGTTTATTTATCCAAAATTTCTTCAGCGGCTCGGCGCCAGTGAGGGTATGCTGCGAATGCCGCATTATACTAAAACCAGCCTTTTGACATAAGTTACTATTCCATACGAGTGGGGCACGTGCGAAATGCGGATTTTCCCAGTTGCAGTACTGCAGTAACTCGACACCTTCCTCACCAACCGCTCTGTCCTCTATGAGCTTCTTAATGTAACTGCAAATAAAAGATGGAAATTTAAGAAAAAATACTATCACAGCGTTTCACTTGTAGCGTTCCACTCTTGTAGTATATTGGCTATCAAGCACCAGAAAATTTCCATCACGCATTCCATATGCCACCGATTGTCGTGGATCAATTAATACTGTCATCACAGCTTTTTGGTACTCCAGCAACTGGTGTGTCTATGGCGGAGTTATGTGGAGCTGTTGCATGACTAAAATCAATTTGGGCTCTTTGAGAACTGGCTTGTTTGTTGCGAGCTATTGGCATCAAATGTATGCAAATTAGATTTCCAAACGAGCAACTGTTGAATACAGGAAATAACTTATATTATATGGTTCCGCTAAAGTGCACTACTACCGTGTATAAATTGGCCGACCTTCTAATAAATCAAGCAATCTTATTGTATCGTCATCGCCGCCAGTCACCAAGAAATTTCCACTTGGGTGAAATGCAACATCATTCTCCGGCGACGAATGCACTGTATTAGCTCGCCTTCAGCTTTGTCAAATATCTTAACGCTGTTACAACTTAATGCTAAAGCCACCAGATTGCCGTCTGGATGCCATGCCAGCTGTCGTCCCATACCTCTTCCCCCGGTGAACGTTCGCATACATTCGCCTGAAAATGTATCGCAAATTCTTAACTTGTCGCCGCACGATGAAATTAACTTACCATTAGGGCTGTATTTTGCTGCGCGCACCCATTTGTCTGTCCAGTGAAAGATGTGTATTTTGAATCAGTATTTTGATGGATGTTCGCCATTTTTCTAGTCTGCAAACGAATAAGCTGACGAAGAAGCAAACAAATCCAAGCACATTGTTGCATTCTACCGTACTTTTTAAAAGCTTTAAAATCTTAAACCATATGTGAAAAACTTTTATAATCTGAATATTTCTAATGTCGCAATCAAAACCAAATTTTATAAATAGCATTTATAAAAAGCAATCATCTAATATTTTTCAAGTTTTTGGGCATATATGTTACCATTTGAACAACAAATACTACCAAGTTTTAAGAGACTATTTAATGCAACTCAGGTCAAAAAAGCGCGGTTTAGACCAAAATAAGCAACTCTAAAAAACAGATGATCGCAGCTGTGGCCCAGGATGACGTCTATTCCTAAGATATCTCACTTGTATTTGTACACAATGTCTCTGTCTTAGTAAATTTGTTTTCTTCTCGAAGCATTGACCCATCCTTTGCAAGGCCCGGCTGTGCTGCTGAGTTGGGCGAACGTTCCAAAACACCGCTATTCAATAGCTTGTTTTGTATGGAAAAGGGTTTCACATGCAATTAGATTTTAAGAATTTAGAATTTTTGTGAAAAAAATTAAAAATATTTGACATTTTCGATACCAAATAATTAAAAAAAAAAAAATCAAATCAGCTGCGCTACTGATACTACGTGTTCAATGTGCCTTACTAAAATTTATTGGGCTAAAAAATGCATACTCAAAATATTTCTAATCTAAAATCTAATTAAAAAGCTCGAAATTTTTTTTCGAAAGTTTGTTAATTTGTTCTAAATATTGCACAAAGATTGAAACTTGGATGTGGGTTGAACTGACCGGAAATCCTTTTTTTTTTAATAGGACCTACATGTGTATGTGAAAATTTGTCTAAAAAAAACATGTACCAGATGGAAATGCACTGACACTTGTAATACAACGATGATAACATATTTAGGCCACATGAATGGAAAATAAGAAAATCAAGATTAATTCTTGCTCTCAATACAGATTTAACTACATACTAAGTATCTGAATCACATAGTGGATAATTGCATTGGCTATATAATTTCTGACTCGTCTAAAATAATGAAAAAAATATAATCATAGTTATTGTATTGTTAGTCGAGATTCTTAGCATAAATGTTACAGCATATCTTCATATACAAGTACACTTGCACCAAAAAATACTTCAACACATTAGCTTTCACAATGCATAGGAATACCAACAAATTTACCTTATACCACTTTAGATATTAGGCACTAATTTCACTCACAAACATTTACGCATACTTCATACTTATTTATGTTGTTAACTCCTTTTTCAATTTTGTTGCCTCATTAAAACGCGATAGAACATTTTATTAACATGCATTATTTGCTTTATTTTTACATTCTCGTTCTTTATTTCAACAAAAACAAAAAAACACTAAACAGGAGCACGCAAAGCTGTCGCTGGTGATGTGAGTGATCGTCGTGCGTTGCGTGAACGACTAAAATGTAAAAGCTTCCGGTGGTATTTGGAAAATATATATCCGGAAAGTTTGATGCCATTAGACTATTACTACTTGGGCGAGGTGAGAGCATGGAAATATTTAATACAAGTTTCTATAATATTTTATTCAAACGTTATTTTCTACACTTTCGCACACAGATTCGTAACGCCGAAACAGAGACGTGTCTCGATACGATGGGCCGCAAATATAGCGAAAAGGTAGGCGTGAGCTATTGCCACGGGCTGGGTGGCAATCAGGTATTCGCCTATACGAAACGACAACAGATCATGTCCGATGATCTATGCCTGGACGCAGCGAATGCGATGGGTCCGGTGAATATGGTGCGTTGCCATAATATGGGTGGCAATCAGGAATGGGTTTACGATGCCGAGGTGAGTTTGCAAAATCATTAATATATGCGATTTTATATTGAAGTGTGTTTCACAAAACGTATTTGCATAGTAGTAGGCTGCGTATAACTCAACCAACAAAGTAATAAACCATGATAAAAACATAGTAAGGTAGAACCGTTCTCTCAATTCGTCGGCCATGATTTTTTTTTTTTTTGAAGTTTGCCAGCATTTTAAAATCATATAAAACTGAAAATGAAAAAATTAAATTGTTCAAAATTTTTGTTGTTTGAGATTGGAAATGAGAATACGTGTAGAACTGTCAAAAAACTATCTCGTACAAGAGAGAGCCACGGTCGAAGATGTGAGAAAAATTGCTGGAAGGTAAAAACCATTTTTCCTAAAGCTATATAAATGTCACATGTTTGTTTACAGAATTATTTATTCAGACAAAAGTTCTTCCACACAACATTTTAATTCTCAAAAGCTTTCGTTATTTTGGTACAATTACCTTCTATTCTGCTAAAAATATTTCTTATAAATTGCATCACTCTTTCACTTGATGTTTACGAATGCAACACTGCTCTTCATATGACAGTTTTCATGAATTTTCAGGAAGAAAAACTTCGGACTAAATCCTGCAACTTCATACAGAGAGTAAGCATATTTTACTCTCATGAAATTGCTCTCAATTACAGGAAATTACAAGAAATTTGTCTGCTAATCATACTGCTGCTGGAACGCAACTAATGTGTGTGAGTTTGTGAGTAAATTTTAAAATTAAAATGCTTGAAAACGTCAAAATTCTAAAAGGGTCTCTCAGGGGTTCTACCTTCCTATAATTTTATCATGCAATAAACTATAAAATACATTTACGGGTCTATTCTGCGCTGGTAATAAAAAGTTTGTAACCGGTAAATAAAGTTCCTGTCAATTTTCAAACCCTTTTCCCATTCTGTGTATTCTTGTAACCGGTAAATTTTGTTACCATCTCATAAAGTGGTAACTAAGTATTGCCCCGTGGAATATGCAATACCAGAATTTCCACAATTCTGCTGAAATGCTGAATATTTTAACTGCATTACCAACGTACCTAGAGTCGCGGTGACAAGAACTGGTAGCATTTTTTGGTAATAACATTTTCCGGTTACAAAATCTTTGGTAACGTGCAGAATAGACCTGTTGAACTCTAACTACGCAGTGCAGTGAGTAATTCATTTTTGTGTTGAAATACGAAGTTGTTGCTTGTTAAAGAAATGAGTGCTATATATAAGAAGCGTTTTGAAGCTGCTTTCCTGGTAAGTCATCCCAAAGACCAGAAATTATCAATAACTGAGGCCGCAAAGTATGTACCTAAAGATGGCAATGTCGATGACAATTCTGGTAGAGGTTTGACTAAAACTACTTCAAAAAGAAATGATCGGAAACAAAGGCTTTCGTAAAAAATTATAAACTTTTCCACTTGCACAATCAGACGGAGATTGAAAGAATCTGACATCAGAAATCGGAGAACACACGAATACAAATGATTGGATCCTTCATGAAGACAATGACCCAAAATACTGGAGTCGATTATGCACATCATGGAAAGCATAAAAAGGCATACGACAGCTTGATTGGCTTTCGCAGAGTCCGGATACAAATCCTATTGAAAATGTGTTTGCTCTAATGAAAGTGAAAAATTGGGAAAAAGAATGTCTACAATAAAACAACTTGCCACGACGTTAAAAAAATTCGGAGGGGTATGTTGTTGTTGCTGTAGCTGCACTACTAAGCCCCGCCTATTTCGGTTCATCCTCCAATCATTGTCGTGAAGCTCAACTAACGGTATGGCCAGGATATGAACAGTTTACATAGGGTCGGACCAAAGGGAGAGAGGGTGTTAGTTGAGTGGGATTGAACTGGCATGTGAAGAGGTGGTTGGTATCGTGCGGGAAGTCTCCACTTTCCACACTCATTGGGGATATTGGAGTCGAGTCTGGACAGGTAGCTGTTGAGGCGGCTAAAGTATCCAGGGTAAGGCGGGTCTCTTGACAGTTGAAGTACCGTTCACGTGATTGGGCTCCGATGACGGCGAGTCGTGGTAGGTGGTGACCGACTCCCTATGAATGCCCTTGATCGCTCGTCCCTACGTCGTCATGTCCAGTGCTTGGTCGATGTAAGTCTGGACCGCATCCTTATAGATGAATAGGTGCCCCCTGACGTGAGGGTCCTTCTATAGCAAGGGTCTGTTGGGTATCAAAGGTGACCCCTAAAATTTTTGGATTGTTCACTGTCAGAATTGGTGTGCCATCGACGTGAATGCCTAATTGAAGCCTGCCTTCTTCATTCAGGTGGTGAAGAGGGTCGCCGTTGATTTCGTTGTGGAGAGTGCTAAGCTTCTTGCAGTGAAGAAGCGAGAAAGTCTGGAGCGATAGCCGTTTACTTTTGAGCAGAGGTCATCAATTCCATTTCCAGACGCCAATATCGCTCAGTCGTCAGCCTATGAGATCAGGGAAACTCTCTCAAGTGGAGGGATCTGTCTTCAGATTACGCTAGAAAACTAAGCGAAAGCTGCTCAAGACGATGCCAAGCTATTATAGACGGCAATGGGGAGTGGACGGTACATTAACTTAAACGCGCACTAGATATTGAGATATGTAACAAAAATCAAGTGATTAAACCTTCACACACGTTTTCTTTACAATTTTACGACCACTCTGTTTTGTGAAAGAAGTGGTATTTCTTATTTGAATTCGGAGTATTTTTTTTAGAGATTGGGGCTTCTAAAAGATGTCCATACATTTCTATGGATATATTCGATCGCCGCTTCTGCATTTAGTGGTATTATAATTTATCTCTTGCGTAACCCTAAAAATAATAACCCTAAATGTCGGCCACTGTGGTGTATAATCCATGCTGCTAAGCATATAAAGGAGCCTGGCTTATATGATCATCCAAGATGCGCCTTCTTTTCATGTTTCAAGAGGGGCACGACCCTGCTATTTTCACATTTCGGTGGTAATCGAGGGGGCAGAGACACTTATGCAGCGTTGAAGTATTCGACTCCCGCTGTACTTCAGCAGCATGTTTCTTCAGCATCAGTATCGATATTCAGCTCGGGTCTAGCACTTTAGTTTTTAGCACTAGGTGTTTATTAAAGTGACGACGTCATGAGGCTGGTAAATATTGTCTTATCTGAGCAGGTGGCCAGAATCGAGCGTAAGCACTGGTTACCAACCAATGACATTTATCCTATCCCCTTTTACGATAGCGATGTTTGGCGAGGCTGCCTGTAACCCTGTTGGGGCATTGTAATTTGCCATGCAAAATGTCTAGTCAACGAGCTCTTGGAACAAGTCTTTAATTGGCACCAGTTGTTGCAGCCGTACCAGGCAAGTAGGTCGAGAAATAGTAGATATATCTTCTTCAAACACCACATAACCATCATGGTCCGGATTTTGTTCAATGCCGGCGCTGTTCAGAGGTGTATGGATTTGGTCGGAGGCATGCCAACGCGTGATTCCAGTATAATATAACCAATCATATTAAGAATCTCATCTAACACATCTTGGCCGTGGCCGCCGCCCTGAGTGTGCCTTCAATAAGCTTAACGAAAGCGAATCAAAAATTAGTGGAGTGCATTACAACAACAACAAAGATAAACTAAATTCAAATTTTTAGACTATAGATATTATTAGGGGGAACGAAGTTTAAGTGCCCCAATTACTCTTGGCGTTCAAAACACTTCTATACACTTGCATACACATTTTTTTTCATTGTTCCACACTGCCGTTAAGTGAGCAAAGTTCTTTTACCATTAATTACATTACACTCGTTTATTACTAAAATGTGTTAATATGAAAATAACGTTGCCAATTACTTAACATTTACCTATGTATGTGTGTATTTACTTTCTCTTCCCGCACAGGATAAAACGATACGACACACAAACACTGGCAATTGCCTGCAACGTCCATCACGTAGTGATCCAGTGACGCCGCTGTTACGCCCATGCGACTATTCAAAGGGTCAACAATGGTTGATGGAATCGAAATTTAAGTGGCAAGCACATTAGTTGTTCTTGTTTCTAATCATGATATTTACAATTAGTTAGATAGATAGTTGTCATATATAAAATATAAAAGAATTTTTTTTACATGTTAGTTAACTTTTTATTGTTTCACACTAATGTTTGCTGATTACTATAACTATTATACATACATACATATGTACATACCTACATAAATATGTGTATGATTTTTACTACTAAAATATTTTGTTCTACATATTAAGTAATTTGTAACTACATACATATTGTAAAGTTTATTTTATAAATTTGCCGTAAACGGAAGGATAAAAAATGAGTTACAGATATGCATTGAAATACTATGTAGTATCAACATACATATGTGAAATGCATAACATATGTATAACATACGTATAAAAAAGTTTCAAAATGAAAATAATTGCATGCATGCTTGGTTAAGTGTCTGCAACAACAAAGTAATTCGTATTATCTTTGCAAAGTCTTCCCTATGATTAAAGAAAAAAATTTTAATAAAATACGATGGATGCATAATTGCTGAATAT